GAAAAAAAGCAAACAAGCAAACATCATAACCTCAAAAATGTTCCTTTTCATATATTTCAACAGAAATTGAATGAAAATAATTTGATGTTAATTAAGCTCAAAATTAAATAACTGTCAGCTATACTATACGTGTTTCTAAAGGCTACATAAAGTCGTTAACGTTGAAAATATTAGTTATTCTATAAAGCTTTTAAACACAAATAATACCGGGAAAACATTTGTTTGTTATGGTGTAATTTTGGTAACGGATATTTCCAATTTAAACACGTTTTATTCTGTTTTAGGCATGCTTACGGTGTTCAACAAGTGTGACTAAATATTCATATTAGCTATTAAATGTTATGTATAAAATCTAGATCACATTCACAGACCTATATATATTATATCTAAACTGGAAAAAGGAAAAAAAAAATTATTCGCGATTGATCAACTCACAGTACTATATATATAGAATCATTCATTGTTATGTATTAATCACAGAACTATAAGCCTATATATATATATATATAGGGTCTATATATACGCAAATAAAGCCATTTCATGTTAGTATTCATAAAGATACCATTTCAAATCCTAGAATGAAATAATTCACATCTATTGATTTTAGTCATCTTAAGTAAATTTAAATAGATTGATTTTGTTTTGATGTTTGTAAAAATTGCAAAATAAAAATTATGAGACGAGAGTGCTCTTATTTCCTGTTTAATTTGTAGATCTAGACCTAATTATTAAATTATATGGTACATAGGTTAGGGTTGAAAAAAACAACAACTTTACTTCTTATAACTACTTTACAAAACAACGCCTTGTTTCATCTTTTTAATTTTTTTTTTCACATTTTTTGTAGTGCTAAAATATCTTCATGTTCAGTCTAGATATAATATATATTGGTCTGTGATCTAGATTTACTCTTCTTAAAAATAAGTTTTTTAAACAAAAACAAAAAAAAACTACTAACCTACATAAATTTCTTTTGAATTGGCTATCAAGATTTTCAATGTAGGATCTCTTCAGAGGCGGCACAAGGCGTAGTGTGTGGGTGACCGCGACAGCCTGGCATCGTGGTCCCATGGACCTCGCGCCTGAAATATTTATACGTTACTTACAGTCCTGAACGCGCCAAAAAAAAAAAGAAAAAAGAAAAGGATATAGTATTTTTTTTATAGAAGCTTTTTGTCAAGCTTTTAAATACTGCATTACTACTCAGTGGAAATCTTTTTATAATTTTGAAAAGCTCATTAGGTCATGTAAAGTACTATAACTAACAATCTATCCGTATAATAAAATACAATGGAAAAAAAATTTGTTCTAGCTGGGTTTTTTTTTTCCTGATGCAGTGTTGGGTATTAAAACAATGATCATTAGTTATGGGGATAAGTTGTAGTATTTTGGAACATGTTTATTATATAGTTTTTATTGTGGCATCGAGAGTAATATTTCATGGACTCAGCGTGCCTCTCTAATGGAGACTTCTGTTAGGGGAGACAACATAACGTATAAAAAACAACATGTCCTACAGCTTACACATCACATTCTAGCGCACAATGCCAGCGAGGAAGATGTAAGAAAGGCTCTGCTAAGCCGTCACATCCGAAACGCCATTACTCACAGTGGGGGGTCGTTTTAGGGTTGGGTGTGCGTTGAATGCTCTTTCATGGTTAGTGACGATACATTATGGGAACACGGAATAATCTGCTGATTTTTCAAACAAATTTTTTTTTAATTTTAAGTTGCTTGAGTCTTAAATTAAATCGAACTCGGGTTCTCGAGCCTGCATGATAAAAAAGTTCTCTTAAATAAAAAATAAAAAAAGGCAAGCGTATCTATTGGGAAGAACTCCACATTTGCAACTGTCTCTTAAATGTAGAAGCTATTTCCCTTTTCGATACTAAACAAATTTATTAATTCCCAATAAATAATTGAATAATTGGTTAATTGTTTAATTGATTAAAATTTGTTAGGTACAATTAATAATTGTTTAACCCTGATCCGAAAATGAGTATTTCAAAAATAACTTGTACAATTATCAAAGGGAAAAACATATGTACAACCTCTGAATTTCAAAAGATTAATTTCCCTTGTTGATATAAAAAAATAATTAATTACCAGTAATTAATCGACTAATAGATTACTTTTAATTTGTTTTAATTTATTCATGTATTAACTTTGCCAGTGAATAGCTGTGCAATGTTTCAACTTGATCTGCGAATGGGTGTGGGAGAAATAACGTGTGGATTTTTTTTAACAATCAGACTGACAGACAGTCACACAGACAGACTTTGTAAGAAGTCTATATAAATATTAGTGAATGACCTTAGTCTCAACACAAGGCTTATCTTCCTTTAGTTTAGTACATTTATGTATAAAGCACAACTAATAATCACGACTCAATGATTATTCATTAGTTAATTTTTTAATGTGCTCTCATCAATAATGAATAATTGTCCGAAGATTTAACTTGGTCCAAGAATGGGAAGTGGAAGAATAACCTGAATAAGATTCCACCAAGACAGACAATGTGAGTTGATGTAAACTTTGCAAACAACAAAAAACGTGTTCTGTTGAGCTGATACAGTAGAAAAAGACGTCTGAGTCCTGCCAAGCGTTTTATTGCTAGGCTTTCGCTGTTAATCTGGATAAACAGGTTATGACCCCACAAGAAGAACTGCATCAATGGGGACTCTTCGTTTTGTACATCTTCTCATTCATTCATGTGCAAAACAATTGCCTACTTTCATCGAGTCGCCTGCCTTTGATCGTTATCAGTACGTTTATATAAATATTTAAATATATAGGTTTACCCAGTGTTATCATTGTCATGTTAGTTTAGGGTTTGCACTTAAAATGTTTCACACTTATTGAGTACATAGATTGAAGAGAAAAACAAGCAAAAGATATATTTTTTTAAAATCCTTTAAAAAAAAAAAAAAAAGCTTATCTAAAGGGGAAGAACTCCGCCCCTTAAAACTATATATATATATATATATATATATATATATATACATATATCAATTACGTACAAGTTATTTCTCTAAAATAATTAAATACTAATAAATTATTGACTGTTTAGGTATTTTAAAAAATAGATTCACGTTATGTTAGCTACAATAAATAATTGTTAAATGTATCAACTTGATCGGAGAATGTGTGAGGGAGAAAAGCGATAACAAAATTTTAAGAGGACTAAACTCAACACATTTAGCCAATTTAGCTGTGTATACTGAAGGATTAGTTTCCCTTGTTGTTATCAAACAAAATAATTAATTACCGGTAATTTATTGACTATTGGTTCCTTTTTTTTTATTATTTCGTGTCTTGTCTATGCCAATGAATAATTGTGTGAAGCTTCAACTTGACCCTAAAAAGGGTGTAAAAGAAATAAAGTGTGCACACTTTTAACCAGACAGACAGACAGACAGACAGAGTGAATTGATATAAGCTTTGTAAAAAAACAAACTCTTTTTGTGGACATCCTCAATCGAGTCTAAGTGTCTACTCATTACTTTCATCATCACAATAACCAGTTCAAATTATTGTTCATGTAATCACTACCTATGAGTGTACAAACTATATTAAACTGTGTAAGTCAGTCTTGTGTTTCGCGTCACCTTTTGCTGGAATTACACCTAGTGACAGTTGTTTTTATGCGTCTTCTGTATCGTCATTGGCCTCCTTTTATTTATTTTTTTCTTGCTCATGTAAAGAGATTGTTTCAATGCCTCTCAGATACTTTGGTAAGGGTCTCTTTTTATGTCAGAATTATTCTAGTTGCAAATACATTTTACAATAGTTCCATAGCATGCCAATTTATCAGCAGCTTTTGGTTTTTGTTGTAACTTCTTAGTGTTTAACGTATCGTTTTCATCTGTGCAATGATCACTTGAGGTACCTTAATGAACAAATGCAGTGTTACAGAAAAAAAGAGCTTTAGCGTTGTATACAAAGGCAAAACTAAAGAATTCACACTTTGTTTAAGAATCTAAAACATGGAAAATGAATGAATAGGCGCATAGTATATAAGAGGACGGACTATTAAATGAAATGAGTTCAAGATGCATGAGATATATTGTGTGTTAGTTTGGAATAGACTAGGATGATTGGAAAGGTTATGAATTTATCCATGACGTCAATTCACTAAGTTTCTTTGAACATTCATTCAACTAATCCAATGCACAAATGTTATTCAGCAGAAAATATTTTTTAAAATTTCAGTATGTAAAATAGAACACAAAAAATAAAATAGATTTTTTAAAACAAAGCTTATATTATAATTGTATCAATTACATACAGCCAGTCATGAAATTAAATCTGTAATAAATCTAGACTACATATAATAAATCTGTGCGATTAGAAATATTTTTACTGCAGTTTCATGTTTTAGCTTTCTTAATGCGCAATGATCCTATCACTTGCTTGATCAGTTGAGAAAGTGGTGAGGGGAAGGGGGTATCTCGGTGACCTCGACTGCACTTTCTATACAATCAATTAAATTTTTAAAGTGCATATTTTTCTTTGCATCAATTAGCTGATGATATTCTATTGAGCTAATGAATCTCACCAGATGGCTAAAGTACCAAAAAATGAAAATGTTATTAGTAGTTTTGCTAATCCGCTCGCTTCGGTCATTCCTTGGCCTTTTCAGCTAATTTTAACAATGTCCAGAGGGCTGCTATGTTTGAACATGAACAACTTTTATACAAACGATCCTATATCCCCAGCGGGTATCCCTAATAGGCTTTACATTCATATTTGTTGACATGAGTTGTTAAGATCTTCGATGGAAGTGTTGAAGCGACACTAAAAAAAGATACTTTTGATGCACAAGTCAAAAGAGTTTTGTTGTAATGACGGAAGATTTCGCCACAATATCCTTGACCTCTACAGTTCTGCAAAAATAAATGCAGATATTCAAACTTTTAAAAGCATGCGTCTATAAGTCGTAAACTAGTGATGTCGTTGACAGTTAGGTATCGATTTCTTCTGGCGTTATCACAGTATTGCATATTCGCAAAAAAAAAAAGAACATAGTTTTTTGCTCTTGGTGACCAGCGTCGGGTTGCAGTCCAATATGACGGACTAGTATTTACAAATTTGAACATTACAAGCATTTTTTTTCAAGGCACATTCATCAATCTGATTACCAACAAAAATACACAATTATAATACCTAACTGATTGCAAAGATAATATGCTGGATAAGACATTTTCAATCACAAAGAAGATAAATCTATATATATATAGAAATAAAGAATTTTGAAGCTCTTTTTTTCGACAATCCCGCACAGAGTGAATTGGAGGCATCTTAAAGTTACCGGTATACAAATATTTTTTAAATTCATTATACATGGCTTTTATCGAAATTTTTTTTTTCACAATATTTTTGTGGTGGGTTTGGCACAGAACACAAACTAAATGACATGACAAAGGTATCTCGTAGGACGATTCCAAACTGTTTACTATATACTAAAGACCTGCCAAAGGCAAACATAAAACATAATTACAAATGAACATAAACTAAACATAATTAACAGGCCTAAATACTAGATCTAACGAAAAAGAAAAACTTATAGTGTGAACCAATCATCTCTTTGACAGACACAAGAGAGATATGGAACACCAACAGACATTCTACAAATAAATGACAACATAGTTCTCTAAACATAAATCAACTACTTGTTCTACATAACACTAACATACATTGTTTGAAGAGTTTCGCTCTTTCCTTTCCTTACAAAATACTATAATTAAATAGAACAAATCTATACACTCACAAATATACTGTTTCTTAAAAGCCAGTATCTAAACACTTGTTGTAAAAATACATTTACAAGATGGACAGTTAACATTCTATATAGAATACTACAGGTACGCATTTCAATAAATGAATTCATCTACATGCTGGCCTCTAAAAATAAGAATAGTCCAACATGAACAAAAACCGCGGTAGTGATATTCTATGTAAACTACTAATTAAAAGTACAATCTAATATAAATAAATAAAATGTAATTACCTGCAGCCATCCATAAACACATGGTGTAGAACCAGGCACAAACAGGGAGTGGAGACGACGTAGGTCCAGTAACGTACGGACACTACAGCGACAAGAGATGCCGGTCGAATGGACAGTGCCCACGTTGGTCTGCCTTGTTATGCGCGGACACAAGGTGCCATCTAGGGGGAAGGGTCACGTGGATATCGGGGTGGCCGGTGTTTTCTGAAAAGGTATCCACTCCACTACAGAGCCCCTAGCTTGAAACGACCCGTCCCGGAGCGTTCAGCCTAGTAGGTTTCTGAAAACTGAAACAACTGTTTCTTGTCAGTGTCTTCTGGAACGACAAACATCTTTCCAGTCGCGCTGAGTCCATCGGTCAAACAGAGTGGTCTGTCTGGTGCTTCCATGATACTAACGTCTTTCTCGACCCATGATGTCTGGGAAGCTGTAGAAAGTGTGGTAGGGAGTAGTGAGCGAAATCGTCTTTGTGGCTGGTTCAACTGCTTGTAGTTTCTTTTTTGTCTATGTGTCTTCCGGACTCTGTCATGTCTGGTCTGGTTAGGCTGACCAGCCTTAAAGTTTCTATTCCTCGATGCGGGGTATGTTTGAATTGAGTGATCAACTTGTTGCTCACTGGTTTGTTGTTCTACTTGGTGGGTTGGCTGTGAAACAATGGGTTCACTATTGCACACAGATTGAACCTCAGCAGTGAGTTGTGGCGATTGCTGACAGTGACGCCTTACATGTCCAGCTTCCCAGCACTGGGTGCAGACTGGTGATCCATCATCAGTGTATGGGAAGAATCCTCTCTTCGTCCTTGACCACACAAGACCCGGCGGTGCTGTTGGTCGAATTCTGTTTTGGTTGCTATGTTTCGTGTGTCTTTGTGTTGGTCTGCGTTGACTATGTGGTTGACTAGAAAGTGGGTTAGTTGAGCTTGGCAGACTGTTATAACCAGACCCCTGGTGTTGTTGACTAGAGAGTGAGTTAGCGTTAGTTGAACTTAGCAGAATGTTATAGCCTGACCCCTTTATCACTTCAAGTTGCTTCTCTAACTTGGCCAATTTTGCTAAGAGAACCTCAGACCACTGCTCTTGGGCTCGAGCTGCATCTTTGTTCTGGTTCTCCAACTTGAATGCATAGTTTCGTAGACTTTGAAAACTTATCTGGGGATGTTGCGCTATAAACCTAAACAGCTCTCTGCGAGGTTCTGGATCTCTGACTCCATAGGCATATTGGTCCCTCAATCTTTCCTCCTTGAAGCAATCTATTCCTTCTCTTTGTTCTTGCCTTATAGCCGTTGTGAACTCCTTAAATAGTCGGTGAGAGAATTCGAGCAGTGACTCACTTCTTCTTTGCTGCGACATCAGAAATGTAATCTCTGCCTCTCGCACCGGTATAATTACTTCAAAAGCAGATGTAAGTGCATCAAGCAGAGCTTCTGATATGAGGTGGCTGAAGATCTATCTCTAATCTAGCTGGACCACTTATGTTCGCAATGATGGTTGCTGTCTTCTCTTGAGGCGAGAGGTAAGGCCGAAGTTCCCATAGATCTCTTATTTCTCTGACGAAATCTTCAATTGAAACCTCAACATTTCTGCCATCCCCGCTGAACTGTCTCATTTTTCTCGCAGGTTCTATGATGCAGTGAGGGCGCTGACAGGCCAGCTTCAATGCTTCAAGTTCAGCTTGTAGTCGAGTCAACATCCCCTTAGTGACACGTTCCATTCCCTCCGGCTCTCCTACACTGCACGTGAGACCCACGTCTCTCCCCTTCACTGAACTAGGTTCCACCATATTTCTCTCCATCTGGCTGCAGGTCTAAAAAAACTCTAACAATAATAGTAACCTAATAACTAAATCTATCTCAACAGAAACAATTTTCAAGCTAAGTAAAATCCCAATTAAGAAAATAATAGCAAATTATATTCAAATATACGAAACTAACTCTAACTACCCTGAAACAAAAAGAAGAAAACAAAAAATTGAAAATATTTGAAGGTACAGAAACGGGAGAAAACTAACTGTTACTTGTGGACATCTACGTCTGGTTGTCACTTTCTTAGTTTCGGTTGTCAGGAAGCAGATTCTGAGACGTCTTCTGATCCAACAGTGTAGTCTCTCTTCCTGACCCCACTCGTGCTACCAAGTTTCTGTGGTGGGTTTGGCACAGAACACAAACTAAGTGGCATGACAAAGGTAACTCGTAGGACGATTCCAAACTGTTTATTATATACTAAAGACCTGCAGCCATCCATAAACACATGGTGTAGAACCAGGCACAAACAGGGAGTGGAGACGACGTAGGTCCAGTAACGTACGGACACTACAGCGACAAGAGATGCCGGTCGAATGGACAGTGCCCACGTTGGTCTGCCTTGTTATGCGCGAACACAAGGTGCCATCTAGGGGGAAGTGTCACGTGGATATCGGGGTGGCCGGTGTTTTCTGAAAAGGTATCCACTCCACTACATTTTTTTTTGTTCAATATTTACAAGTCGTGTCTTATCACTTAATCAGCCAATATTTAGGAGCGATTCTTTCTTTTGTTTTATTTCTTTCTTTATGTTTATGTGTACACAGATCTAGATCTATAGTAGTGTACCAAGGTATCATTGGCTCGATTCTTTGATGCGTACAACTTTTGTTTACACGGTGTACTTCTCTAGCAATCTTGACGCGTACTCCCTGGTACATTATTCATTCTAAGATTTGGGAAACTAAGAAAAGACAAGCTCTTTTTTTTTTTTTTTTAGTATTTACTTAGAAAGTAGAGCAACATTTAGAGGAAAGCATGAAACTAGCAACTGAATCAAAAAAATATTTCAGTAAAAAACATTTTCAAATAGTATTTAACATTTAGTCTCATCCTAGAAACTTAATTCTGGACGCCTGTTTCGTTCTTTTAAAAGTAATTAGTTTGAACGTTTTCTGCATTTTCCAAATCCCAGTACATTTTGATAATCTGTTGGTATTTTAAATCTCAAGCGAAAAGCTTGAAGATTTTTTTTTAATTTAAACATGAGCGAAATAATTTCATGGCGAGCTTTTTAATATGAAATTAATTAACAATAAGTGATATGCAGTAGAACTTGATAAAAACTAAACTGTTTAGCGAAAATTAATTACACTTTACATAAAGGTATAATATTTTAGATCAAGTTCTAAATCAGCAAGCTTTCATTAACATTGTCTTTTTCTCGACTGTTGATATCTATTCATTGTTAAGGACGTTTAAGTTCTTTTTTTCCTCATCCCGACTTTATTTATGTCCTGAGTAGCCAATGCTACGCGGCTATGTTCTGGAGCTTTGGTGTTTCTTAAATCAAGAGGGGTGGGGGTTCTGAAACAAGAGAGAATTTTTTTTTGATGAGATCATTTTAACGAGTTTGGTGTGAATCTCTGTCATTTATTTCTAGAGGAGTTTGAATGGTATAAAGTCATGTATTCGTATTTTCTAGTTTGCACTGGAAAGGTTAAACAAAAAAAACACAAAAAACAAAAAAAAAGCTGACAAAAGTTCAGATTGACTTCTTAGGGATTGTAGAATTTACGAAAGCATAAAGATAAAAAAAAACTTTAAGAGAGACGACATTAATAAACTCTGGGCAAATTTTATCGTCTAGCTTTATAAACATTGTCATAAAGAATTAATCCCATCTATCTATGTAGGCCTATATATTTATGTATGTATGTGATCTATCTATCTATGTATCTATGTATCTAATACTTAAAACTCACTGTTATTAGATTTAAGTTCTTTTGTTGACAGTTGCAGGCACAGGCAGCATCTAATCTTTGTGTACAGCAGTCAGCTTTGTGCTCAATGTCTTTGTCTTCAAACTTAATTGTTTCATCTGTCTTAGAGAGCGGTTCCTTTGTTCCATTGTTACGAATAGTTATGGAAGCGCCGATTTCATCGTTTTGCCTGGACATCTCAATGAGACTCGAATACTTTTGTTTATCGAATACTTGAGCGCTAGAGTCTCCATCCTCTGCAGCGGACAAATCAAAAAGGGTTGGCTAAGATTTTAAAAAAGATTCTTAGTCATTTGACTAGCAACGTGTAACTAGATCTAAGACAAAAATTAGCATTTGGAAATAAATTTTGGAGTTATTGTCGTAATGTAGCGTTAAGTCTGTAATTTAATTAAGTAAGCGCTACTTATAGGCGGACTGGGACCAGCGGAGTCGCCTCTTAATATTTGTTTTCAATGACAATAAGGCCCATAAGCGTGGGAGCGTGATGAAACATAGCCAAGGCCTTTTCGCTAACATTAAACGAGGACAGTTTTCTCAGTAATCGTAATCTTTGCTGCATTTTTTTGCTGATATAATCACTATTTGCAGTAAAATTTAGTTTATTGTCTAGGATAGTACCAAGGTATTTAAAAGTTTGCACTATTTCAATAATTTCTCCAGCTACAGAAACAATATCATTTTCCTTCTTTTCCCTACGAAAATCGATTATCATTTCTTTGTTGTTTTTTTGACATTTAATAATAAAAAATTATCTTTACTGTATTTTTCAATGTGTTCTATTTCTCTGAAATACTCATTTACGTCTGAGCTCTCTGAGAGCAGGGCAAGAAGAGACGCATCATCGGCAAATTTTGTGAAGGAGCAAAAAAGACTATCGGATTGAAAATCATTGGTGTACAAAATGAACCACAATGGCGATGTCACAGCCCCCAGGGGCGTTTATGTGTTAACTATGCGTGCATTTGATATATATTAAAACTAGGCTTATCTTGTATTTGATAAAATTGAGTAGATACTGTAAAATTACTATGTTAAAGTGTATTATATAGTATTTCTCAGGCAAAGAGACATCCAGTTACTTAATCATCTTCGCAAAAACTTAATGCACAAGGATTTTCTTAAAGTATTTTAAGATAAAACATAAATGGGTATCGCTGGCCAGTCTCGTATGTTTACAGAGGGAAAGCGGTATTTCAATTTTAGCATCAAATTGCATGCGGAAATGCAAAGCCACTACCACTATGTGGCCGGGGGTGCTATGTACTTTTACTACTTTAAGTAACACGTCTGTTTAGAATAGCCATGATTATATAAACAAATGTTCTAGAAGGGTATAAAAAAAAAGACTTTTTTTCTGGTATTATAATTGAGTATAATTGAATAAATGCGTGTTTAAACCATAAGATATGATGGATTGAATTCAATTTTAATTTCCAAGTAAAATAAGAAACAGAAATGAAAACGAGGAATTTCTTCAATTTCAGACTAATGGCAAAGGGCACGACACTAAAAAGGATGACTACAAGCACTCTGATTTTTTGCAAACTGGGGTACAAGTTTCCACCTAGCTTGAAAGTTCTTGTTACGGAGAATATTAACGAAAAGAGCTTGAAACGCCCACCAATACGATATTAAAAAGCTCCTCTTTCAGACCTTGTGATCTATAGGGTAGATGATGTAAAGGTCAACTGTTTCTGTGGCTTACGGTTAACGAAGGTGTCATGTGGCCAGCACAACGACCAACCACCTTTATATCATTGACGACAATGAAAAGACAAATCAGAAAGACACGAGGAGCAGGCGCTTACTAGACATGCGCAGTTAGTCTGGTTTCACTTACAGTCGTTATTTTATAATCCGCCAATCAGTCCAAGATCTTTACAAAGTTGTATCTTAAAGGCAAAAGGATTCGCATTTCTCAGTCCATTGTGTCTCATACAAAAGATAAATTTAACACCAACACTCTCACATGGGACTGTACGGAAGAAATAGATAGTCTTCTTGATGACACCACTTGATGTCCAAGATTTTGATTTCAGACCACATTTAATAATATGATTATTATATTTGGAGAATTATAATGGTCAAACCAGAGTATTAGTGTGTGTCCAATTAGCAGTAATTTTTTTTTTCTTAAAGATACACATATACTTTTCAATTTTCTAAGAATATTGTTAGAGCCGTTTTCGAGATCCGTGTCCACCTAAATTTTTGTTTTATTGAACCGATGAATAATTTGCAAGCTGATAAGAGAAATTGTAAAAACGAAAAGCTTTTGTTTCTAATAGAAGTGTATTGAACAGTAATTTGAAAATTTATAAAAAAAGACATATTCTAGTTTTATTTAAGTCTCCGTTCTAATAGTTATTCCTTTTTGTTTGTTTGTTGTTGTTTTTTTTTAGCGGCCCCCAAAAGGGGAAAAGACGCTATTAGTTTTGTGTGGCGTGTCTGTCCATCTGTCCCGTTTAGATCTGAGAAACTAGAAGAGAAAATGAAAATCGGACATCATGATATTTTAGATAATTCAAAGTTCTGATGCAACGGCTACTTTTTTTTCTTTTCGAAAGTGAACCATCTATTTTTTAATATTATATATGCAAGCAGATTTTTCAAAAAATTACACCACTTTTAAATGAAAAACTTCAGGGGAGGTAACTTTTTTAAAAAGGTCATAGACTTCTTCCTTAATAACTCAAGCTTCATTTATAGATTCGTGCATTGTTACAAAAAAATTGCATCTAAGGCAAAAACTTCCCAAAACTTTTTGCCTCATAGACCCCCTGCCACGTTTTCCAGTTTTCGGTAGACCCCCCCCCCCCCCCTGCTTCAGTTATATTTTAATCTTTTGCAAATTCATTAACTTCAAATTTTACGTTTTTAATAACTAATTTTTATAGTTTAAAATATTAACATATGATTCTAAAAAAAAATAATTTCAAACAACATTTTCTAAGTTATATCTTTTTATTAATAAAATTGAGATTTAAGCCAAAATACTAGTTCCTATGTAGTACATACAATTATAAAACAAACTGGAAACGTTTTGGTTTAAAAGTTAAAAGTTCAACATCCATTGCTACGGAGATTAAGTTTCATTTAAGGATTTGTTGTTCCGTGAAGTAGTCCTCCAAACATTAAATATTAATCTGCACCTAGTAATATTGTATACGTTTTCGCAAAGAACATAGTTGTTTTTTTGTGCAGATTTTCTTTTATCTATAATAAATCGAACATATACCAATACAAATATTCCATTACCATATAAAGTTGACACAGCCAGCTGTATAGAGAAATATTTTTAAAAAAAACTACATAAGAAGAAAGAAAACCTTGACCTACAATCCTACAGAGGTCAAGAAATTAGTGAAATCTCTTCTATAAATTCATTGTCCTAACAACCATAGGGTCAGAGTTCATCTCAAAAAACCACCACAAAGGAAGGAGCTGGAATATTTAACAAATGTCCCAATGGAGGAAAATGAATTATTAAATTAAGTCCATTGCAACTGGTGAGCACTCTGATAGCCATAGAGCAGAAATAGGAGAACTGGAACTAGCAGCTACCCCGCAAGCAGATCATCCAAGTACGCCAAACAGTCAGATTGTCTTCCTGACCGATGCAAAAAAAGTCCTCCAAATCTTGGAAAAGTCAAATTCCTCCTATGTGAAACGACTCAGGAAGCACTTATAAAGCTCAACAATAACAGCGAGAAACTGTTCTCCAATGGATGCTAGCACATATTGAAATAGAAGAAAATGAGAAGGTTGACACGCTTGCCAAATGTGGGAGAACAAATACAATAAAGAAACTAATAGTGAATAGAAAAAACTACAAACGGACAAGCTCTCATCCGAATAGCAAGAAGGACGATGCCTTTATAAACTATCATGATTCGAACACAACTAA